GTTACTGCTCAAAAAATGCCCATCTGAACAAAAGTCCTGTGCTGTGCCATGGAATCTGATGGATTTAGTTTCCGCCTTTGTCAGCAGTGCAAGTTCAGAGGGCACTGAGCTCTGTTGCTGAAAACCTTTCCTTTCAGAAACAGAAGGGAAGAGGGTAGGATTTTGCTACTAATCTTGCCCTTTGCTGTGGCACTGCAAAGAAATGAGTATTAAACTGCAGAGGATGTTGAAGTGCTGGCCAAAGCTGCAGTTCAGCCTGTTTGGGTACAGGTGGATAAGCAGATATATGCAAACATATGGCTGTGTTAGCGTAGGCACTGGGCCTCCCCTGACAGCTCATCTCTGTTGGCTGAACTCTCACAGGCTTTTAATGCCTTCTAGCATTATAAATAGTCCCATTTGGTACAAAGATAGACTCTCTCCTTGTTTTGCAGCCTTACGTTTTCCTGCGACGGCCATCACTTGTTCACAGCTAACAGCGATGGGAATGTCATCGCCTGGTGCCGCAAGGACCAGCAGCGCCTGAAGCTGCCCATGTTCTACTCCTTCCTCAGCAGCTACGCGGCTGGGTGACGGCAGGGCCTGCTGCTGACTCGTATCTCTGATGCACTTTAATCCAAATAGGCTACAGGAGCTCTTCTTTAACTGGACTTTGAAGTACTTTGAATGTCTCTAGAATGACTGAATAGGTGGGTTTTTTAAAAAGAGCAGCCTAAGGTGGTTGTAAGATTGCATATGTGCATGCACAAACTTGAAGCATACCCAGGTCAGCAGGAAGCTCTGGTCATATTATCCAATGCCAGCAAAGTGACTAAGAAATGCTCAATGCTGCAATATAAAACACCAATGGTATTTTTTTAAATCACTTCTTGGACAGAAGTATTTAAAAAAATTAATTATGCTTATTCCCCCTCTTAGTATGTAAAATATCAGCAGCATCAAGTTCTGTAAATATCTATTCAAATGTCAGCATATGTATATCTGATTAGTTGAATGTGGTATGGTTAGCTCTGGGATAAGCAGTCCAAAACTTAAAAATCAACGACCACTTAAAATTGCTTTTTTTGAGAAGCAAAGAACTTAGTAGGTGCTTTTTGCACCATCTTACGGTATTGTAATGCTAAAAATAGAATTTCTGCTATCTTTATATTTGTAATTTTTGCCATCTTCTCTGTTACTGTAATAGTCTTTGCAACAGACAACAATAAAATATTTGTCTTAGTGATGGGTAGATACCTCATGGCATCATGAAACAGTGGTTAGATCGCAATGCAGTGTGAACTCCCTAACTTTGTGCTAGTTGGCTATCGCAGTTCTGTGGCAGAACATCTATTATGTACACACACAGTTTATCTTCCAGAGCTCTAAAAGGAGGTGTTAAAGAAGGAACAGATGTGCTCCTGTTCCAGTGTCATTGAGGTTCAATACACTGTAAAATGTTTGAATCTAACTGCTTGAATAATCAATGTTCATAAGCATCAGATTATTCGGAAAGGTTCACACAGATACACTGTGCAAATTTGTTGTGTATTCCTGGGTGCTATTTTATGAGGGGGAAAAAATAAGCCTCTGTTGTGAATGGCTTAAAAAATTGGAAATCTTAGGCCACCTGACAAATTAGTATTTCAGTTGATGGATTTGAAGACCTCTAAACCTGGCACCATGACTGAGTGCCTACTAGTCATGCGAACGGTAAAGCAAAAATGCTACACAAGTCTGATGTAGTTACATTTTCCTTTTAAATTGCTTTGCTTTTTTATCACTGACATGTTCTGCTATTGCCATTCAAACTGCTGTGTCTTCTCATGTTAAAGGCTCATCTGCTTTCAGAACACTTCACATGAAGTTGTCAGGTTGTGACAAAGGTCACACACACACACACACACAAGCAATCTTTACATTTCTTTTGAAAATTCCAAATAGTCTTCAGAAACTCTTGAGATTTCCCAGTTTAAGAACTTTTCAAACTAGAAAAACTTAAGAAAAATGTTCTCATAGTTCATGACACAATTGGATCAATTAAGCAAGTGGCTGCATACTGTATGGATTGAGTTTTAAACTGCATATTATTGTAGCAGCATTGTATGGGATGGCTTTAGTCCTATTTTTCTCTGTCTGAATGTTAATGTAAGGTCCAAGTACTGACTGAAAAGCTTCCTGGCTCATGTTGATGTGATGTGCTTTGTTTAAGAGAAAAAAGACAAACATTGTGGTTTTGGGGTGCTTTTGTGCTCCCTGTTTTGGGGTGTTGCTCACAAAGGCTTATTTTTTTATAAAGTAGAATTCCACTTGTTACAAACCAATATGCAAAACTGCTGGCCTTGTAAAGAGTGCAATATTATATATTTTTATGTAAAAGTAAAAATGATTTTTGAAGCAAGGAATATTTATTCAGCTTAACATTCTGGAACTATTAAAATAACATTGCAATAGTGTCTGTGCATGATGTACTTAAATTTCCTGTAAATGTCACATTCCACACTGTATTTGTATATACACTGTCACATTGTTGGGTAATAAACAGATCTTTGTATCAAACCATTTTGAGATAATTAGAAACATGTTTTTGGCTTAGTTGCAACTTTCTTCTTTTAGGGAATCTTTCATGCCTTGCTCCAGATCAGTTTTTGCTGATTCCCCTGTCTTTCATATTTTAAAAATCATTAAGTAGGAAGGTTCCATTTATGGACTACATCCTGTGTCTGTCAAACTGAAGGTGGTGAGTGTAAGATGGGAAGTGGGAAACTATCTGTATCACTTTGCACATGTGTGCATGTGTCCTTCCTTCCCATAGGATGCATGACTAGAATTTGGATGAAACGATGGCTCTCAAAGCAGAGACATTCCCCCTCCTTCCATCTGCCTTCTCACTGAAAACCTGTCTGAGCAGCAAAGGCAGAAAAGCAAATTCTCTCTGGATTCTCAGGAAGATGGGTGGAAATTGGAAGACTGAGATCTTGGGGAGGCATCTGAAAGGATGTGAGGCTGGTTCTGCTGCCAGCCAGAGTTTGGGAGATGTTCATGGGGCAAGGCCTATCTACCTGATTGCAGGATCCTGTGGTAAATCCCAGCCTTTCTGCTCTGATAGTGGAGAGACATGGTGAGAAAGGGAAGGGGAGGCAATTGTTGGATGTTCACTTGTAGTGGGAGAGGGAGTCTCCAGCCCATTACTGAAAGGGAACCCTGATCTTGCATTTAGAGATCCACTGCTTAGACAAACCCATGACAATGAACAGAAGGAAAAAAAATAGCCTGAACTGAATTAAGCAAAAATATAATAGTAAAAAATAACAATGGAGTGGTGGGGAAAACATCACCTGGCTTGCTACTAATAAATTTTTAGTTTACCTTTTAATTTCTTCATGCCTCTTTTTGCTTAAAGCTGTATTGGGTTTTTTCCTTGCATATGAAAATGGAAGTCACACTTCTGTATGCTTCTACTATATCAAAAACCAATCAAACAATTACTATTTAAAAGCTCTGCTTGGCTTGAAAAATATCCACTGGAATATTTAAGCCTCTGTACAGAAAGACACCTTTTTTATTTTGCTGCTGTATTAAGTTACAAACTACTGACTGCTGTTTGGAGATTTATTTGCCATTGCTGCTCTGGAGTGGGGTCAGAAAGGCACTGATTTTCCATTGGAGTTTCTGTAATAGGCTCTGTTGTGTATTTCATAATTTTGAAAAAAGATTAAAAATTAAATGTGGCTGCTCTGATTAGGCCCCTAAGCTGTTCTGGACTACACAACAGAATGTAATTGAGTAAAACAGGAGCTTGCTTACTATTTCCAGCTTTAAGCTAGCATTCCAAGGGAAAAAAAAATTAAAATCCTTATTCTCTAATGCAATTGACTGAAACCCATGTAAGGCTCATTAGGGCCAAGTTCATGTAGATTTAAGGAATAGACATTTGTGTTGGCTGTATCAGTATTGTTTTCAGAACCTGTAGGGGAGATTCCTGATTGTGGTGGAAGGTTAAGAGTTTGCAGATTTAAAAGGAGGCAATTGAAAGTAAATAACTGTGCAATATATTATGAAAATATGTTTTTAAAACAGCCATTTCCCACCTTTATATTTTAGCTTAAGTCATAAAATTGTTATAATCCAGTGGTAAAAATATTCTGATGACAATGGCCTCATGATTAGAACTATTTAATGTGCTCTTTGTCTAACAGCATGAGCATGTAAATCCTTTGTGTGTGGAATGGGGCCTTTTGTAGATTGATGATGTGGTTGAACATGAATCAAAGAGCAGCAGCACAGGCCAAAGAAGTCTCCATCAGTTTCTGGAACTCTAGTTATGGGAAGCCTGTGAACTTACCTAATTATATTTAGTGATGTTTGCCTTCTTCCTGTTGCATCTCCTTCTGCCAAGCCGCTACCCCAAAAGCCATTGACTCCATCTCAGAAGAGGCCGCCCTTGCTCCAAAGCACATTCAGAAATAGGACTCTTCCTTGTTCTAGAAAACAAATGTTACTTGGGAATTCTGCTCAATTATGATGGAATGGGAAAATATGCTGAGGGACGTGCTGGAGTCACTGTTCCCGGACGCGTTTAAGGGAAGACTGAATATGGCACTTACTGCCACGGTCTAGTTGAGAGAGTGGTGTTCGATCAGAGGTTGGACTCGATGATCTCAGAGGTCTTTTCCAACCTAATTGATTTTGTTTCTGTGCTCTGTGATTCTGTTTGAGAATACCTGGACGATCGCTCGATCCCTAGCGCCGGCTGGAGCCGGGGCAGGAGGCGGCTGCAGCAGGAGCCGGCAGGGACAGAGGCAGGCGGAGCGTGAGGGCGGCGGCACCGGGGCCGCGGCCGCCCCGCCCCGCCGCGCCATGTGCCCCGGCCGGGCTGCCCGCGGCCTCCGCGCCCTCACGGCGAGGGAGGGACGGCGGGAGGGAAGGAAGGAGGGAGGGAGAGAGAGAGGGAGTGCCCGGGGGCCCGGGCGGGAGAAGGTGCCGGGAGGGGCGCAGGGCGGGTCGCGGTTTCCGCGGGGTTCTCTTGTCGGCGCTGGTGTCCTGGGAATCCCTTGGCCGCTCCGCCCGGCATCCCGGTGCTCCCGTGGGCAGCTGCGGGTAGGCGAGGACCGGCGGCGAGCCGGAGTTTCCCGGTTATCCGCAGGAGTCGGCGCCGGGCTTTGGGCTCCGTTGTCGGCGGCACCGGCGGGAGCATCCTCTGGAGAGCCCGCCCCGAGCCAGGTATCCTGCGGGCGGCGGGGAGGGGGTCTCTGCCGGCTGCTCCTTCCTCCTCCTCTCTGCCTGGGGCGAAGGCTGAAGGAAGTGGCCGCTTTTCCTGCTGGCTGGCTGCCCTGCCGAGGAACAGCTCCCGCTGCCCGGCTGCTGCTGGCGGTAACCACTGATGGGAGCTGCTGGGAGCTGCTGCACAGCAGAGCCATTAGGGCAGTGCAGTCAGACAGAAAACTCGGAATAACAACTTAAAAAACGCTTCTACCCTGCTGGTAATGCAGTGCCGGGTTTCCCGGAGAAGCTCTCCCTGCATTGTAGGTTACAATTCTGTTCAAATGCCTTTTAAGCGGGGTTTAAGAGGAAGAATCAAAATTTCCTGTGTATTTCTTTGAAAGCTCACAGCTATCTTTCAAAATTAGCTAAAGAGGTAAAACAGTAGCCAGGAAAAATCTTTTTGCCTCAAGACTTTCGAAATCTCTGATGGTTTGCTGGGCTATATGTTCACATAACCTGTATGCTGATGATAAATAATATTGCACAAAAAGATTGTCCTTGGGAAATATCACATTAGTTCAGCCCTTGTTTCCTTTGTTTTTTTTTAATGTTGAGAAGCAAGATTATAATTTTGAGTAAAAATTTGGGTATGACGGCAAGAATTTTTGGAACTTGACAATTGGACTGGATATAGTACTGGATATGTTAGACAAGAACTAAGCTGCTGGAGTTCCACTGATTTGCAGTTACATGAAGAGAAGTTATTTTCAAAGTCAGCACGTTTATGGTATGAAAATTGCATTCTTTCCTTATTGTGAACAATAGTTCACATTGCTTTTAATCTAATAATTTCTGCTTGTACTACTAAGCTTCTTTTTAGGAGATGGAGTGAAAAGCTGCAGTAATTTTCTTGTATTTCTTTGTGCAGCCATGAGATAGAAAAAGAAAAGGATTCCTTGCCCTGCCTCTCTCTTTACAGAGCTACATCAGTTGCTGTAAATCATAGAGTAAGAACTGAGGTAGCAGGGGAAGTTGGGTTTCTTTCCATTTCTTTTTCTTTGGTTTTTTTTCTTTTAATTTCTTTAGTATACCAGTTTGGCATCAAACAGCTGTGAGGCTGTAAATTTTCCTGTTTATGTTCCTGCAAGGGGATAATTAAATGTGGTGATCTTTCCTCAATTTAGGATGTGATATCCAGGGATGATTCCCACTAATGTCACTGGGACTTAGTTGAATGATTGATTGGCTCAACTTTCCTACTGGGCTGTGTGGTCCACAAAGTACAGAGCTTGTGTGGAAGGTGTTCTTTGGAGTTGTCAACCTCAGGTTTTCTAATCTAGTAATTTCAGGTCCATGACTTTAGGTTAAGGCAGCAATTTGGTTTAGGACTTTTCAGATTGAGTTCCAGAGGTCACTTTTATGGTATGGCATTGTAAGATTGTACCTGGAGCTAGAGGGGGGGAAATTGCAGCATTTCATCCCTGTTTCTTGTAGAAATCCATCTTGAAGAGCTTGAGAAATCAATTTTGCTTCTATGTTACTCAAGTTTTTAGACTTTTTCTGCATTTTACTAACAAGTATTTGTAATGTTTAGTAAGCGAAGGTTGCACTCCTTACCCCAATGCAGCATCAAGCTATACCTGCAAATCTTTATGCAGCTTTATGCATTATAATAAGATAAATTTGCCTTTGAAGTGCTGTTGGGTACAATCATTCATTGTAAAACAAAAAAGGAAAAGCTGCTCTTCACAAGCATTTTTAGGAGCCTGGGAAATGAAGAACTTCGGCACACGTGAGTTACGTGCACCCAGAAAAAGGATGAGGTAAGGTAAGCAAAACAAAACAAAACACCAGAAAATGCAGCTGGCTGGGAGGCTGTCGCTGTGCAGCTCTCAGGAGTGATGCTTTAGGAAAGGGCTGTCTGCTGTGGGGTGCCAGTCAGCAGAAACTGTTTGGCTAAAAAAGGCTGTGTAGCTGCTGTCACTGCTCTTCATTAGCCCCACCAGTGTTCCCCTAAAAGAAAGGAATCAATAGAGACCAGGTCAATGAACTCGTGTGCTGCACAAAAATACTCTGGATAAATGAGCTCCTCTACAATCCAGGTCTGCTGCCTGCAGCAGTGACATGTAGGCTGCATGAAGGCTGCTCCTTAGCACAGTTACTGTAACTACAGTGATTATCAGGGCCTGTGTGTGCCTGCATTGATCCAACCTAAAAACAGCCAGGAAAGAGCAGCAGCAAACCCAGCGGAGAATTTCTGGTTCCAGGGGTTTTAGGTAATTCAAATGATGGGGAGAAGCTGCTCCTTTTAAACATCAAAAGCAATGTGGTCAGCTGGTCAAGGGAGGTGATTCTGCCCCTCTGCTCAGCTCTGGTAGCACTGCATCCACACAGCACCCAGCTCTGGGGTCCCCAGCACGGCAAGCACATTGACCTGTTGGAGCCAGTCCAGGAGAGGGACACCAGGATATCGAGGGGCTGGAGCACCTCTCGTATGAGGAATATCTGAAATAGTTGGAATTGTTCATCCTAGGGAAGCAAAGGCTCCAGGGAGACCTTACTGCAGCCAGTAATAAAAAGAGGCTTAAAAGAAAAACTGGGACAAAATTTTTAGCAGGGTTAGTTGTGAAAGGACAAAGGGTAATGGTTTTAAGCTAGAGAGGGCTGATTAAGACCAGATGTAAGGAAAAAAACTTTACTGTGAGTGTGGTGAAACACTCTAACAGGTTACCCAGAGAAGTGGTGGATGCTCCATCCCTGGAAACATTCCAGGTCAGCTTGGATAGGGCCCTGAGCAACTTGTTACAGTAGAGGATGCTCCTGCTCATTGCAGGGGCCTTGAACCAGGTGATGTTTAAAGGTTCCTTCCAACATAAGCCATTCTATGATCCTGTAGACTGCTCAGCCAGGTACAATATAAAGATAAATGTGCCTTTCTGTGGGACTGAAGGCCTAGAGAATACTTGGACAGTTTAAGAGGAGTCATCTTAAGAGAGAGGATCAGATCCATTTGTCCGGCTGCAGCCTCAGATGAAACATCCTGTGAGAGGGTGTTTGAAGGAGAGGCTTCCTCATTCCAGGGGATGGGTGTGTAATAGATTCTCTTGTAATTAAAATTTCTGTTCTCTCCAGAGCTGTATTTCTAAGTAACAATTTTATTTCATTAAAGACTATTAAGCTTAAGGTTATTGTCATAGGTCCTAAGGAGAATAGAATCAAGTGTCATACAAAGTTTTGTCTGCAACAAGGATCTTTATCACAGCCTGGTTTGAAAGTGGGTACAATTCTCATTTTCAACATCACACCATATGTAATAGGGCCTTAAATGATGCACAGGTATGTACAGTGTTTGCAGAGAGTGAGAGAAGGTGGAGGTCTGTGTAGCTTGGTATGTGAGGAGAAGTCAGTCTCACAAAGTTATGGAACCATATCTGTCTGTAGAAAATTAAATACTTAAATGGATGCTAAACACTTCCAGAAATATAGTAGTTAAATATTTAAATGCATGTAAAGGCCAATGTTGGAGCAGGATTTGGAACAGAACAAATGTTTGTGCTTCAGACTATAAACAAACCTCTTGCTGGGGATAAGTGGAAATTTTCTCCCATGTCTGAAATGCCTAGTGCCAGACTTTTTTTTTAGTTTTGAAGTTTTTTTTTTTTTAATGAAGCCTCACATTCTGGTTGGTTTTTGATACTGTAAAATGCTTTACTAGTCAAGATACATATTTTCTTTTTTTAAATTTTCCTATTTGGTGTTTCAGAATATAGGTAAGGATATATTATCTTTGTGGCATTGCTTTAGAAACATGCTTTGAATTTTTAGAAGCATTTTTATGCCTAATAGCCTTTTCAACATTATACTATGGACTTAATCCTTATTCTGTTAATGCTTAAACACTGGCTGGAAGTACTGTGAACACTGTTCTTGCCAACATTGTTGTAGCTAGTGACAATTCAAATTGTCTTACTCTAATGTTTATAGCTTTTACAGTATGAGTGAGTGAATTGCCAGAAAAGTGTGGGAGATCTGGAATTCTCTGGACTGTTCAGGGAGTTGCAGTTGCTTAATTCAGTTTAATTTAAATTTTTGTGGCAAATGTAGAAAGGCCTCTGACTTGATTTAGCTTTGATATTTTTGACTTTGTGATCACTAGTAACATAGATGTGGAGATGATAAAATTTAAATTATTCACTCTTATGGAGGTATCATTTTGTAAACAAAGCTAAATGTGTTTATTCTAATTTTTATGGATAGGTTGGTACTTAAAAGTGAGGAGGTTGAGTCAAACAAAAAGTCCAGAGATGAGCTGTAATTCAGAGCCTTTTCCTTTTGTGAATGTCTTGTATCCTTTCTGCTGTTTGACTTTCCACTGCAAGTCAAAACACATCTCAGAATGGATTGGAGGCTGTGGCTTGGTTGTGGATTTTCATACAGTACATGGCATTTTGTGCAAAGCCAGTTCCTCCACATGTATTCAGTCCTGTGCCTTGTAAGGAATATGGGTTAAAAAATTGTAAACAAAGATTAAGACAAAGAACCTGCTGTGTTCTGACACGATTTTATTTCATCAGAACACACAAGGGGGAAACTTGTGTTCCATTCAAATGACACATGTATATGCAGAAAACCTGTTCTTTGTCTTGGCATATGCTAAAGCTCTTGTTTTGTTTGTCTTGTTTTGATATATTTTCAAGTAGCATTTCCCTGCCTTGACTTATACTAGACCTGAGAGAAAAGGATTCTATTGTTTCTTCAAATTAGTGTTGAGCATGGCTCACCATGGCATTTGTATTACACCATCTATTTTACAGCACAGGTTACTGATTTTTAGAAACAATTTGTTTCATACCAGGCTGTGAGAAGAAACAGCTGTCTTTGCCTTGTCTCTGAGCATTTGTGTTTTGCAAAATCAAAGCAGTTAAAAAATTATTCCTCCATTCTTTCTGTACTATGGATTGGGTACTTCTCTTGAGTCTAACAGGGGCATTCACTGTACATACAGGTTTTTTTGTAAGAGCATTTCCAGTGTCCTACTTTATTTCCTGTTTGTATCTCACACCCCAGTGGCTGGATCAGGTAAGCTATCAAGGTTCAAGAAGGGAAATTTGTGTGGTTCTAGGTGTTTGCTTCTTATCCAGAAATAGGCTGGAAGTATTAATTTTGAAGGGCCTGAGCCTAAAAGTGCTTTGGCAGCAGTGCAAAATGCCTCCTTGTGTGTGTGTTTTTCTCCTGTGTCTGCCTCTCACACTCTGTGTCCTTTGCATTTTGCTGAACTTTGTGTTGGTTTCTGAGGCTTGGTGCCAGACTAATCTGGCTGCAGGTGGCCCTTATGGTAAGGACTACAGGGGAATGTTGCCTGATTGAAACCTCAGCATCCAGTCTTACTAGGTAATACAGCTAGTCTGGGACCTGTCTAGGTTGTCTGTACCCCATCATCTTTCCATGTGGCCTTAGTCCAACCTCCAGTGACTTCCAACAGTGACTGTTCCTTGTGCTGGGCCAGTGCTGCATAGAGGTGTCAGCACAAGGGGGTCTAACCTGTGGACCACCTCTGGCACAGATATTGTAAGTCAGGGTCTGAATGTGGATGTCTTGACTCATTTGGTAACAGTGCTGAGGACTGCTGGATATTGAGCTGATTTAATCCCTCAGGGAGGAGCAATGCAACAGAACCAAAGGCTGCCATGCCTTACCTAGATGTCCCTTCCCAAGAGCTGCAGGTCTCTTAAAAATAAAGCATCCTGTACTGTACAGCATACTGTACTGGGTTTAATCATCTTTAGACTTTGCTGCGGTGTCTAAGCAAAAAGTTGGAAACCTCTGCATTATTTCTTCTTAATCTGTTACCTAATTTCTAAACTTCTTTTATTGATAGTCAGAATTCTGACTCATTCTCTATCTTAGAATTTCTCTCTGATGCTTGGTGAGAGTGGTGTGGCATTAATTTCCACTGCACACATTTCTGAGGTTGTTTTGATGTTCCTAGGTGTAACTGGGGCGTGGAGCCAAACTGTGCAATGCCTGCAAAGTCTGTTTGTGAGCAGCTGTTCTGCGTTGGCAACGTGAACCAGGGCAACCATTTTCACGCTGAAGTCATGGTCATGTGCTCTGCATTTGTATGTCATTTGCAGGATTCAGGCAGAATGCTGATGATCAAGGATGCAAATATATAATGCAATAAACTGCCATGTTGCAAGAGGACAGACATAAATGGTGTCTGCTTTGTATTCATGACAAACAGCCTGGCAGTGTTGATGTGGTGGGCAAGGGCTGGTTAGAGTTCAGACAATTGTCCTCTCAGTGATTGCTGCATTTGCTACCTGCTCTTTAAATGGTCTCAACTTCATCTCTTCCAGGAAAAGCAGAATGAAGGAACTAGTGTCAAACAGTACAACCAGTATTTCTCAAGCCAGGAAAGCCGTGGAGCAATTAAAAATGGAAGCATACATGGATAGAATAAAGGTAAAGTTAGACTTATTGTTGATATTTTGAATTCACTGACTAGTCTGGTGAACAGCATGCCCTTAATAATGCAGAAATCAAGAATCTGTGTTGAGCAATAAAACAATATTCAGTACTGTGAGTGAGTTACAGACCGACTGGTGGGTTCTAGTGTAGAGATTTCCAAAGCCTGGCTTCAAGTCTGCTTCTGTATGAGTGTCAGTTACATTTGTCAAAAGTGGTATTTTGTGAAATGCTTAAAATCAGCTGGTGGGGGCACAGGTGCTCTTCTTTGCCACCTGTAGCTGAATAGAAGTGCAGCTATGGTTTCTTGGTTTTTCTCCTTTAAGATTTGGAATAAGTCTTTAAGATATTGCAAAATTTTTGGATAATGATGAGACAAGCTGAATTGCTTTGCTTTGTTTTGTTTTAGTGCAGACGCCATTGCACAAGAAAGTGTACGATTGCAGTGTGCAGTTATGATTCTTCACACTTGATAACATGTTGTATGTGAAGATTTGGTTCCATCATGCCTCTTGTGGATTAAATATAATCATTAAAGGCGCTATTAAACAGAGCATTTCAGGTTTTTTAACCAAAAAATCCTGTGGATTATTCTTGCGTGTCATTCTGCTTTCCACTAGGCTAAAACTTTGTGAAATATCAAGGACCTGAAGCTAAAAATGCCGTAGAACTTTTTAAGAAAGCAATGCTCATTTATTTTGCTCTTTTCCTCTGAAAATAGGGAATAATTATTTTGATAAAAAATCCAGTGTCTACAAGGAAGAAGTTTTTAGTCTTTCCATCTTTAAAAAGTAATGCATTGAAATTACCCAGTTCTCTACAAACAACTGTAACTGAGTTGTTACAAACTGTAACTGACACTATTAATTCAGTAGGACAATTTAAAAATGTTGTACATTGAAATCTTCATGTAGTCTTAACTCAGTCTGTTTGTCCATCCATCCTGTGTGCTGAAAGTCTGCATGTAGTCAGCATGGGGACAGTAGTATATAGTTATGATTTTTAAAATAGTCTCAGATCAGAGACTCACCAGCTGGAGAAGTAATATTTAGAATTCAGAAATGTTAGTGCAATTCACATGAGAGGTCAATCTTGCTCATATGAAAAAAGACATTTCAGTCACTGGGTTTTGTGTCAGTTTTTAATGATGTCTTGTAAGACCACTGAATTTGCAAAAGTAGTTTCTCTATTTCATAGTGTGTCACAAATCCATCACATAACCTGTTCACAGGGACAGGTGTTTGCTTCCTGCAGTAGAAAAAGGTCTGCCTTGGTTAGTCCCAGCTCAGGTCATGGTGCAGATGCATGAACAGAACTGACAAGGGAGGGTGTGGGTGGCAGAGGAAAGGGTTGGAAAGATCAAAATCAAAGTCGTTTGGCATTTGAAATTGTCCCAGTTTACTGGCATTTGAAATTGCTGATTCTTAGTAGATTGCCTTAAACTTGCTTCTATATATGCAGTGGTAACTGTCATGTCCCACATCATTAGGTCAGTTTTGCAAATAGCTCCATTAGTTAGGTGTATAACATTCTTAATTACATGTGCAAGAAAGACATAGCTGCAAGAAAGACACGGGTTATTTTTACAGTCAGTTTAATTAAAATGAACACAATTATTACAAATGTGGCAGACCTAAAAAACAGGTAGCTTGAAAGTGCAATTATTTCACTTTTTGAAATAGCCTGGGACCAAAAACACACCAAAGAAAATTTGGCATGTTTCAGAATTATGAGGGCTCCTACACTAACATAAAACAAATATAACTTTTCAAATTGTTCTAATTTCAAGAATTTCTCTGAACAAGCATATGAGGGATTGTGAGAAGCGGTTGATGGGCTTTTTATTCCTTCAAAATCTGCTTGGCTTTTTAATCTTCAATCCGTTAAGTGTGTGTTTCAGCACAGTCAAATTTTATTAAGGGACTTTCCAGTGGTTTCAACTGGAGATTTTAAGTTCTCAGATCATTACTGTAAAGGTAGATAAATGAACTTACTTCCTTTTTTCCTAGTGTTTTGCATCTGATTAAACTAGTTAGAAATTTAACAAAACACCAGGGCTTTCCAAATGACTTAATTAAAGCCTCTTTTGCAAATACCTATAGCCAAGTTGTTATTGCTACAATAGGCAAGACCACATTGCTAACGTGGAAGAGGTGTCTGTGTATTGTCTGGGAAAATCAGAAGTTCCAGTTTATTTTTCTACTACAGAGGCACTTTGTTTCCAATGCACAGTAGCTGCTGTAACCAGCAAGAGTTGGGTCTACACAATTAAAATGTATGTTGATAGATGCTGACTCCCCACTGTGTTCTGGATTTTTCAACTAATTTAAGAAGTCCTATTAAGTCCTCTAGCCAGTCAGAGCAGCAAAGAATGGCTGTGTTCTGAGGTTCCACAAAGACAACTCGCTGCTGAGGTGTGAAAGAAGCAGGACAACTCGAAAGAGGAGGATGGAGTTATTGGTGTATTGATCAGTAGCTGGAAGGAGGATTACTGTGGGTTTTTTGTGGACCACAAGAATGCCAGAAGGATCATATTTGAACCTGTCTTAACTGGCAAAGGAACAGCTAGAGTTATAAAGGAGAAGTAAGTAGGAAGCTGGAAATGCAGATTCCAAGCTAGGAAACACCAAAGTAAATCAGGTGAACAGTGGCCTTGTGCCTAATAGAATAATATGTCTTCTCAAGATGCTAGCAGCAAAATTGAGAAAGCAAAGTTAGTATTAGTGTTTATCAGAGTTGTCCTCAAATAAAGCACTACTTAACCTTTTCTTTGCAAGCAGTGCTCTGACATTTAAGACCCTTGGCATATCAGCTATCATTCCATTTTCTTTTTCCTAAGGAAGATAGGAAGTATTCCTAACTGGTCCTGAATAGTGTTGGAAAATGAACAGTGAGAATGCCAATAATTGTTTGTGAATGTCTTTGTTTTAGATGTAAAGGATAAGCAAAATGGGTGTTGTAGCAAGGATGGTAATTAGTCACAATCCATGACAAGGCAGAAGACATTGTAATTGCAGCATTTTGCCCTGTCACTGAAGCTTATAATTATTAGTGCAGCTAACAGGATGTACTAACTCTGGCAGTTTTTATCACCTCTGCTATTCTGAAATATAATGGTAAAATTTCACAGTCCTCCTGAGACTAATTCTTTAAAGCATCAAGTTGAGTGATTTGTTGGATTTTTTCCCTATTGTTAATTTGATAACCAGATGTGTTTTTTGTGAGAGTAAAAGTAGTTCTACAAAATGTGAGACCAGTGTGATACATATATATTCCATCTTTTAATCCATACACCTTAAAAGATTTTTTAAAAGTGAGATGTTAACTTTCTGATAGAATTCATCAATCAAACTGGAGTCTGATTTTTTCTCTTTAGCCACTTCTGCAATATGTATAAATTACTTTGAATTTGCAGACCAAGCCGTATTGCGTAGGAAAGGTGACATGATAAATGTGTTCACTTCATTTGAATATTCAAATCCCATGCATTTATTTTAATTCTTAGGAAAAGCTATTTTGAAGCTGTCCAACAACATTGAGCTATAAATAACCCTGAAGGCAAGTAACAGCTAGGATAGATTGGGCTGCATTTCACTCCTTCCGTGGCACAATGGGACGATCAGCACATCAGTGTGTAGAGCACAGCCCCGGCCGTGGGGCACCTCTGGGGGCTGCCTGTGCCAAAGCACTATCCCTGCTGGAGCCTTGTGCCATGCTCAGGGCACAGGCCTTCCTGCTCTTCCCAATAATGACTCTGAGAAGGAAATTTGCTGGAGGCAATATTGTATTTTGCTCTTTTTTGGGCCTGGCTTTGCCAACGCCGCTCACAGCCGCAGGAACTCGTGTTTTCATTGCTCCTCGGCTGTGATCAGCTCATTTAACTCCCTGTTGTGAATGGCCATTATTCCACTGTGCAGGCCTAAGTTACTCTACTTTTAGTGAAGAAATGGTTATAATTCACTTTTTTTGATGACTACTGTAATCCCAGTGGGAGGGTTTTTCCTCTCAAAACCTTTTATTTGTTTAAGGGATGAAAATATATGGTCTAGTGCAGGTTTAGATTGTGACAAAGATCATGTTCCTCAGTTTCTTGTTGCAGGTTGGTTTTTAAATAAATTGTACTATGGTTTGTTTAAAAGCAAACTAAAATGTGACTTAAACAGTGTGACATTGAAGGAAGGCTTTCTCTTCACAGAAAGGGGTGATTGGAGTGGGGTGGAAGGGGGGCATTGGAGTGGGGTGCCCAGGGAGGTGGTGGAGTTGCCATCCCTGGAGTTAAGAAGAGACTGGGTGTGGCACCAAGTGCCATGGTCTAGTTGACAAGGTGGCATTAGGTCAAAGGCTGGACTTGATCATTTCAAAGGTCTTTTCCAACCCAGATGATTCTGTGAATGTGTTACTCTGCTTCACAACATTCTTACCAGCATTACAGGACAAGTTAGACATAAAAATGTATGCTGAGCTTTGACTAGTGAAACATCCTTTTTTTTTTTGTTATATCATATCAAAGCACAGTAATATGTGAGAAACAGGAAATTGTATTATTGGGTTTCTCCCTCCTAAGAATGTGGTCTGCAATTGTACTTCTCTTCCATTGAATGAAAAGCAATATACTTGGGCTGATGTTGCTTATCCTTGCATAAAACTAACAAGATCATTACAGGAAAATCATTACAATCCTTTGTACTTTGAGGTCTGTAACTTTCAACACATTTTTGTTTTACCTGCTTCTTTCTTGAGAAACACTGGTCTTTGTGAACATCTCTTCTGACTTTTTTCAGTTTTCTTTTTCACCTGTGCCCAGCAGCCTTCTTTTCATATGTAGTGTCTCTGCCACCCTTTTGTCTTACAGGCCAATTCATAGACAAGCTGATTTTAAATAACCTTAACACTCATTTCCTCCATTGGGGGAATAGTCTATACTGGGGTGCCAACCACAGGTTCTCCATAGGTTTAAGCATTCTACAAAGACATACAGAAATTAAAAATAAAGAAAATTAACAATCTTCAGAAGTTCATTCAAATTTCATGCAAATTCTGATTCAATACCCATTGACTTCATAGATCTAACCTGAAGCCTACAATAGGCTGGGTTCATGTCAAAGCAAGCAAGGCGTGGGGAAGCTTAAAGCAAAACTGGGGACACACCTGCTAGAAAAATACCAGAGATGGGAATTTGTTTCTTCTCTTCACTCTGGTTGTGCAAACATGCTAACCCTGGTGTTTGATGAGGGACAAGCTGTCACAGTGCTCAGAGAAAAGACTTCTTTGTAAAGACTCCAGATTCATTTTCTCAACTATCAGAATACTGAAAACCCAATAATTCACCAAAGCAAAGAGATACAGATAGCTGTGAATATCTTACTGACTGATCAGAACAAAAATAATTGTATATACCTTCTAAATTATTGAAAAAATAAGTGAGTCACTACGGCCTACTGCCACCAATATTCTTATGACATGAAGCTGCAAAAATTACAAGGTTTAATATTTCATTTTTCATTTACTGCAAAATAGCTTGCATTGCAAATATTCAACACATAGCTACATTTTTGCATGTGTTTGTATTTTTATAGACTTTTCAGTAAGCATAAACTCATGTTCTGAATTTGGAGACCTGAGAATTATTTGTTTTAGAAGTATAAAAATATTATGTTAAAAAATATTAATATAGCGCTAAAATTTAAATGAATGCTGTGAATAAAGGACTACTTACAGTAATTTACTAAGCAGAAGACATTAGTCTTGCTTCATTGAAAAGAGCAGTATTTTACTTAAATGAGAGCTATGACACATGATGTTCAAGTTTTGTTCCTAATTTATTATTTCTTTTCAATCCCGTGGTCATGTGCCTAAAGAACTTTTTATTTTGCAATCAGAGGAGCAGAGGGTAGAGAGAGTGTGTATGGAAAACCTTAAAACCAATGAATGGGAGTAAGAGCTGAAGCAGGTTTCTTTACAGAAACAGACACTTCAAGGAGAATCCTTATTGCTTATGGGTGGTTATCATATAAATGTTTTAATGACTGTGTGCTCCTGACCTCCTTCTGATGTAGAGGAACAGCTCGACATGGATGATATCAATCAATACCACCTATGTCACTATGTAAGATAAAATGTGTGAAGGATTACTAAGCCTGGGAAGAACAAATTGAGAGATGTGTCTAATATTTAAAGGATAAAGCAATCTACTCCCTGTTTTACGATAGCTTTCATTATCATTTGTTCTCTGAAAAATATTTCTGCAATTCAGATTGGTTCAGAATTAAGTGTTACAGTAGTTCTCTCTTCTCTTCTATTAGGTATCCAAGGCTGCAGCAGATTTATTGGCCTATTGTGATGCACACATTGGAGAAGATCCCCTTATTATTCCTGTACCTGCATCTGAAAATCCCTTTAGGGAGAAGAAACTCTTTTGTACTATCCTTTGAGTCAGTTTTCAATTAAAAATGTCATCTGCTAAAACTTGGTATCAGTGTTGCATGCTTTTAGCATTTTTTTCCTCAGATGTCAACACTTACCCCATAACTACAATATTTTAGTGCAATTTTGGCTAAAAACCCCCTTAAAATTAAAAAAAAAATAAAAAAAGAAAAATTCAAGGTAATGCTTATCTTTCAGAGCAATGTACAAGTTTAATTTCAGTACTTCATAAATATTCTTTTGGTCTTAGTGAAAATACCAAGTACAGTATCAAATTGTAGGTATCTTTGCCAGTGATAGATTTTTTCTGGGATCTAAATGAGTCATATCAATTCTTGAAGCTATTTTTAACATTCTTATTTTCTTTGGAAGGTGAATTCAATTCAATTGCCTTTACAAATTTCTATCTAAAGAGAGTAGTGTGACCTTTTCCTCAAGTAGCACTTTTTAGGAAAAAGTCCCAGTGATTTACAATGTTTACAGTGATTGGTCTTATACAGTAAGTGGTGTCTGTAAATATGTTTTCTGAAGACTGTTTTTTCTTGACTACAAAAACAATCCTAGTAAAGTGCCATTGTAGCTACGAGCAGAATGAAGATGTATAGTTACACATCAGGATTGCATCAATAAAAATGTAGAAAACTGTGGTTGCTTGTATCTTATTTTGAATGGTAATGATTTAAATTATTTAGAAAGTAAACTGAACTGTGAAGTAACTGTTCCTGAGAGTTTTAGTGGGAGGTGTAAAACTGCCCTGAACAGCACAGAGAGGAGAATTACATTTTCTGAGCAGCCCTCTACATGCTTTTGCCTGTGAGAGTAGGACTTTATGGGGATGTAGATTAATGGTAAATAAATGTTGTTCTAGGATATGCAGCAAGACCACTGTGCTGTTGACAGCCACTATGTTTGTACATTTTGTGGCCACAGATTAGTTGAGTTGTCAGCAAGTAATTTGTGGAGGTTCTGGAATGTTTCTTTGTTTCAATTTTAAAGTGCAGTGAGAAGAAAAGAATGAGATGTGAAATAAGACTGCCTTCTTCATGAAGTAAAATTAAGCTCCTACAAGGCACCTGATGGAAGCAACTGTTACTTTAGACACTTTTTTTTGTTGTTGTTCTTCTCCTTATTAAAAAAAATAAAAGCTCTTTTTCAATCTGATGCATTAGTACAGTTGTATCAGTGCAGTACCTGATATGTCCAGTGTATCAGCCAGCCCCATAAGGCAGGAGACAATTTAGTTGGAGAACTGCACCAGTCTGAGCTGAGACTCTGAACAGCCACCCATACGAGATCAAGCTTCCTCCCTTCCTCTGCACAAACTTTATTCCATCAACATCTTAAATACCTGCAAGGCAAAAAAACTAGCTGAGGAATCGAGGGCCTAGGGGTATTCTTAAATGCTGAATTTAGATGCTGAAAAGTGCTGCTTGGTGAACAAAGCCACATGCATTTCCCCCAAAGTGCATGTACCTTCTTGAGCTTATTTTTAGCAATTTCCATCGATGTCTGTTGTACTGTTTTGTGCAGTGGAAATACAAGATGTCTGCATTGTACAGGTTTTGTTTTCTTTGCTGTTTGGCTTGGATAATGGGCCTCATCCAGCTGTGCTCACTACTAGTCTGGGCACACAGGACAGGGGGCTTTGGATGATGCTTCTGCAGCTCATGTCTCACATGCAATGTTATTGTAAAAACCCCTACATACCCATATTCCTTTTAACCAGTAGGCTTTTGGGATGTCTTTCATTCAAATATTTGGTTTTTGGACTGGGCAGCTGGAGACATCAGTATCTTAGCAGCGTTGACATACCTATGCTGAAAATCATTCAAGTATCTCTAACAGGTCTTATTTTTGGTAGGCTCATCCTTGGTTCCTATTTCAAAGTTTTCAGCTTAAGAATCCCATTCCTAATTTTTAACAAAACTATTTCTTAATGTATGGTGTGTTTTTATCTTGAGGGTAGAGAAATAGGGTTTAGCTAACCCAGTAGCTATTTTATTGACAGCAAAATAAAAAAAAGGCTTTCTGAACATACTTATTTAAAAAGAGCAACAAAATGCTTGATAAGGTTCTTTAGGGAATCCTTCCTACAGCGTACATGATTTGGTAACTGCTCTGATCACCATGGCAACATTTTCATTTGTCCTTCCGCGTGTATGGTTTTAACTGGAACAGCATGGGAGGAGAATATAGGGCATCCAGCTTTATTCTCAAAGGCTTTGTAACAACTTGCATTTGTGGCTCATCATTAACATTCCCATCTAAAATAACAAAATTGCCACGGCTTATTACAGTATTGCAAACAGCTTGCTTTCTGTTTCCAATTAGGGTTAGTGTCTGATATCCTGAGACTGAAACATTTCATTGCTTTTGAGGGTCTCTGGTTCTACGAGATTCCTTTACAAAAATCCAGAATTATTATTCACAAGGGGAGAATGGAATTCTTTTGATCTTCAGTTTTTTCTCCAAAATCTTTCTTCAAGGAGTTGTGAATGTGTTGGAGTTATGTTTTAAATAGATGGTTCCCATGTTTGTGGTTTCTTTCATCAATTCCTAAATTTCATTATGTTAAAAAAAAATAAAATGCATCTACTAAGATGATTTCATGCTTCTAATTTATAAAAAAAGAAATACATGGAATACCATAAAGTGCATATTTACGTTAGCAGATGTCTATAATGTGTTTGAAGAGGTTAAACTGTAGAAGCATAATTCCCTACTGGAAAACAGAACATCTTTCTCTGATGTCTTTGGGCCTTATTTACCAGTTCCTCAAATAAAGGTACACTATTGGCAAATTAGTAATTTGAAGGGGAAGAGGGTGAGGTGAACTTGGAAGATCAGCACTTCAAATAAAATTGTAACAGCTTTGGATTGCATACAAATATATTACTTTCCTTAAGAACACCGTCAAAAAATTGACTCTCTGGAAGAGAATGGCATCATCTGGTTCAATTTTTTTTTAATGCCAGCTTGATCCACAAATCAACATTTAGAAGAATATATTTTCTTCCAATCCCAGCAAACCGTAAGATGTCTTTGTCATTGTTATATTTTGTGCTGCCTTGACCTTTGAGGTAGTTTGGATAATCTGCTCTTGATACTTGAGTTTCATGCTTAAACATCTTGCCTCAGCTCTACACAAAAATATCCAAATGATTTTGTACATTTTTCTAAATAATGAATACATATTATATCATGAACTATAAAATGATAGAAAAAAAACTCTCCAAAACATGGGTTTAGCTAATAGAATGGTTGCTTGTAGGCTGAAGCAATGAGTTTATATTTTCATCAAATGGTCTGATTTGATTCCTACCAATTTAATGAAAACAAAACCAGACCTGCTGCCATCCTAATGCTGTACTGCTCTCTCTCTGTTTCATCTCATATGCCATTAGGCTTGTTTATTTGTAGTTCATGCCCAGAAAGTAGTGGGTGCTCTCTCTTTACTGTGTGAGTTGGGACTGTCATCTCACAGAGCAAGAACTTCAGAACAGAATTGGCTTCAAGGGGGTTTTTGACATGTTATAAGTAATCCTTTCTTCATATCCCAATTCTTGCTGCTCTGATGAAATGAGAGTTCCCAATAGATTGGTGGTAAATTGTAATGTCTCAGTAGCACATGTGGGGCTGGCTGTTTTGCCTCCATGAGATTAATCTCCTTGGCTTACTTTGAATTTAAGATGCCACCATTTCAACCCTAAAAACTATTTCCCTCCTCTCTATTATATACTAAATTCCCCTTCTTTGCTTCCTATATCATGTATTAAACTAGTAGCAGGGTGCTTGGCTGGTGCTGATAGGCAAATTTTTCAAGCTAACCTCTATGGAATTATGGCCAAAGGAGGAGAAAAATATGGAGGGAAGTTTAAAGTAAGCTATTCTACATCACACCAAAGGTTAAAACAAATACAGCCTTTGCTAAGGTAAACAATTATTCATTAGGATGTTGTAATCAGGCATTTTTGCAGTGACTTGCAGCAGGATCAGCTCCAACAGAAGGAAAGAACACTTTGGGAACAACAGTCTGTGAAGGTGCATATTAAAGCCTAAACTTCAATAAGGCAGTCATTTACCCAGCTGGATTTCTGATATCAAAGGAGTAACAAAGTATGTTCTTTGAGAGGACCTGATTATACAGTTTTTCCTATCTCTTCATTATATAGGGATAAAAATCTGTAGACATAATTTTCCTAGAAAATGCCATAATTATGGCTGTCCTTTGGGTCTGCATCAGAATATGGAATTGGTTCTTCAAGGAGACTAAAGAAAACTTGGAGGAGGAGTGGTTCCTAGGAAATACAGGCTTCTTTTACTGAAAAGTAATACTTAAAGTCATTAGACTGACTTAAATAGTAATGTGTGAAAAATAGTGTGCAAACTTAGCAGAATAAGTGTTACATAAAATTTTACAGGCACCTGCACATTTAATCTTTAGGTAAATAATGTACATTTGCATCTAACTGAATCCAGCTTTATAGCACTATTAAATTAAGTACAGCCATAAATACCAGAACTGGTATGAGAACAACTTTTCTGTCTGTTAGAGGAAGATGTACTTCTGAGTTTGTCAAGTACATTTACACCACTCACGCTTGTGAACAAACAAATGAGCAGCTCTACCCTAAAATTGGGTCTTTTCTTTCCCAAATTCCTAGTACAAGCAGGAACTGCATAGGCTTGTCTATTACTGCCACCTACTGATAAAGTGATAAGCAGCCGACTGAGATGAAAAAGTACCAATACCAACTGGTAATGGCCAAAAGAGGGATTCTGAATTAATACACAAACTATCTGGAACAGAGAGCCAGCACTCCTGTTTTTTGTGGGCTGCATTGTGTAAGATTTCACCTGCACTGGGGCAGTGCTGCACTGCTGGGGTGCAGTTAGACCTCATGCTTCAGTTCCAGACCACTCAGTTTAGGAAAACACAAAAGGCAAATACATTATTTGGCTAAATAGGTCAGGTGTCTGGCTAAAAATGCCTTCAAAAGCTGGAGAAATCGTTGTGTGTATCAGCTGGAGCTCATTTTCCAGATTAACTCAGATGCCTGTTCCTCAGTGCTGCTGAGACACCAGTTGTGCCCTTTGCTCCCTGGAGCAGGTGAGGTGGCTGCTAACAGCAGAAAGGCTCAGCTCTAGGCCAGAGTGAGTCCTCAGCCCAGAGAGCACCCAACAGCTCCCACTGACTGCTGCTCTGTTCCTTCACACTCAAACTTCACTCCTGCCTGTTGGTTTTTTATTTCGGGGGTGGGGGCTGTTCTCCAATTACTGAAGTTTGGGCCAAATACTTCCTCCTATGCCACAGCATAATAATACAGCCAGAACAGAGCTTAAGCCACTGCTTATGCTAAGAATGGCATTTTAGGGAAAATACACTAGGCATGGCATAAGGATGTGTTTCAAAAGATAACCCATTCCACAAAACGTATTTGTCATGTAGCTTCTCTGCACTGTACCCTCTTGTGTCCTTGAGCTTTAGGTGGCATCCTTGAGCCCTTCACTCTCTTCATGGCATACTCTAAAGACATGCACAGATGTTCAGCAAAAGGATGGAATAAGCCATACTTTATAGAAAAGAGCCACTTTTGTGACTTTTTAAAAACCTTTCAAGTAGCAATAACTCTAAAGATATTGATTGTGTAATCTGTCTCTGGCAAGTGTGGCTCACAAGACTTTTTATCCATAACTTTCTTGGATAAAACTGTTCACTACCTTGGATTCTTGTCTGAGAGGCTCCTCCCTGGAGAGCATACCAGCTTTTATCCTACTCATCAGAACAGAATACACATAAATAGACTTCCACTATATATACCTGCAGTGCTGATATGAACATGTCACTCAAACCCTTAAAAGATCAAGTGACAAAACTTCAGGTGCTAAGATTCTCGAGAAAAAAGTCCTTTACAGAAACATTGAGAACATAAAGAATGTTATAGATAGCAGCCTTTCTGATGTCTTCTTTCTCACTCTTCAGACACTCTTTTTGTATTGAGAGTTTGCTTTACACTCTGGAAAATTACTTCAAAAAGCAACTATGAAATACAAATTAGAGTGCCATAAAAGTGATTACATTTGTTTATAGTTCTGTCCATACCAGCTAAACAAATACTTGTAGCAGGGGTGTGAATATATAAACAGAATCTGGATAAATG